CGGTCCCTCCCGGCCGGCCGGGAGTTGTCACGTCCGCGTGGCGGCGGTGAAATGCGCGGCGGCGGGTCCCTCCCGACCGCACGGACGCGTGGCGGCGGTGAAAAGCCTGCGCCTGGTACTCCGCTTCACATTCTTTCATATTATATTATATTATATTATATTGTATTATATTTATTATATTGTATTTTATTTTATTTTGGAGCATGGCACTGTCCGGAGCTCCAGGCATCCAGGGACACACTCCCGGCTCTCTACCCGGGGAAGGTGAGCCTTTCCCGGGCTAAACTATTGAGGCTGGGGGCCTCCTGGCCCCGGTGCTCCGGAGCTCCGGGTCTTCCGGGACACACTCCCTGCTCTCTACCCGGGGAAGGTGAGCCTTTCCCGGGCTAAACTATTGAGGCTGGGGGCCTCCTGGCTCCGGGTCTTCCGGGACACACTCCCTGCTCTCTACCCGGGGAAGGTGAGCCTTTCCCGGGCTAAACTATTGAGGCTGGGGGGCCTCCTGGCTCCGGTGCTCCGGAGCTCCAGGCCTCCAGGGACACACTCCCGCCTCTCTACCCACTCACTGTCAGCCTAATCCGGGCTACATTACTCAGGCTGGGGACCTGGCTCCGGAGCTTATATTATGTTATGTTATGTTTTATTATATTATATTGTATTATATTGTATTATATTATATTATATTATATTTATTATATTGTATTTTATTTTATTTTGGAGCATGGCACTGTCCGGAGCTCCAGGCCTCCAGGGACACACTCCCGGCTCTCTACCCGGGGAAGGTGAGCCTTTCCCGGGCTAAACTTTTGAGGCTGGGGGCCTCCTGGCTCCGGAGCTCCGGACCTCCAGGGACACTATCCCGGCTCTCTACCCACTCACTGTTAGCCTACTTCTGGCTAAACTACTCAGGCTTGGGGTCCTGGCTCCGGAGCTCCGGACCTCCAGGGACCTCCAGGGACACACTCCCGCCTCTCTACCCACTCACTGTCAGCCTATTCCTGGGCTAAACTACTCAGGCTGGGGGACCTGGCTCCGGAGCTCCGGACCTCCAGGGACACTCTCCCGGCTCTCTACCCACTCACTGTGAGCCTACTTCTGGCTAAACTACTCAGGCTTGGGGTCCTGGCTCCGGAGCTCCGGACCTCCAGGGACCTCCAGGGACACACTCCCGCCTCTCTACCCACTCACTGTCAGCCTATTCCGGGCTAAACTACTCAGGCTGGGGGACCTGGCTCCGGAGCTCCGGACCCCCAGGGACCTCCAGGGACACTCTCCCGGCTCTCTACCCACTCACTGTCAGCCTATTCCGGGCTAAACTACTCAGGCTGGGGGTACTGGCTCCGGACCACCAGGGACACACTCCCGCCTCTCTACCCACTCACTGTGAGCCTCCCCCTGGCTAAACTACTCAGCCTGGGGGTCCTGGCTCCGGACCTCCGGACCTCCATGGACCTCCAGGGACCTCCAGGGACACACTCCCGCCTCTCTACCCACTCACTGTGCGCCTCCCCCGGGCTAAACTACTCAGCCTGGGGGTCCTGGATCCGGACCTCCAGGGATGCACTCCCGCCTCTCTACCCACTCACTGTGCGCCTCCCCCGAGCTAAACTACTCAGCCTGGGGGTCCTGGATCCGGACCTCCAGGGACGCACTCCCGCCTCTCTCTCTACCCACTCACTCTGAGCCTCCCCTAGGCTACACTACTCAGCCCAGGGCCCATGGCTCCGGAGCTCCGGGGCCCACCCCATGCCAGGCTCCACCCAGGGAAGGAGAGCTCATCCCTGGGCTGGACTCCACTAGTATCCCGGCTAGTCCGGGGACCTCCACCCGGCACCAGGCACCCGGCTCTCCCCTCGAACCCGTGCACCCACTCTTAAGCCCCCCACCCCGGCTAAGCAGAGGAGATACGCCCCGCCGGAATTTGGTGACCCTGGTACTCCGTCGCAGGGAAATTCCGTGTGCCTGGTACTCTAGTTGACACTTAGTCATTTTTTGGGTTGGTGACCCTGGTACTCTGGATTTCACTTAGTCATTTTTTTTGGGTTGGTGACCCTGGTACTCTGGTTTACACTTAGTCATTTTTTTTGTTGGTGACCCTGGTACTCTGGTTTCCACTAAGTGCTTTTGACCATGTGGCGGTCTCCCAGCCACATGGACACTTCTCTGGGCGGGGAACCCCTCAGCCTCAGCCCCAGCCCCAGCCCTCAGCCTCAGCCTCAGCCTCAGCCTCTGACGCCTCAGCCTCCGAGGCCTGAGCCTCAGACGCCTCAGCCTCAGAGGCCTTAGCCTCAGCCTCAGCCTCAGCCTCAGCCATCTGGTACTCTGAATACCCAGAAGGAAGGAAAGGACCCGGAGGCCGGCCAACAAAAGCTTGGATCAAGGGCTGACTTTCAATAGATCGCAGCGAAGGAGCTGCTCTGCTACGTACGAAACCCTGACCCAGAATCAGGTCGTCTGCAAGTGATTTAGCACCAGGTTCTCCACAAACATGAGGTGCGAGATGGGAGAGGGGCGACCCTTGTCGGCCGCGCCCCGGCCCCGTCACGAACGGCTCTGCCCACCGACCCGCGCGGGCCGGCTATCCTGGACCACTCGAAGATCCGCGGCGCGCTACGGTATCGTTACGTCTAGGCGGGATTCTGACTTAGAGGCGTTCAGTCATAATCCCACAGATGGTAGCTTCGCACCATTGGCTCCTCAGCCAAGCACATGCACCAAATGTCTGAACCTGCGGTTCCTCTCGTACTGAGCAGGATTACTATTGCAACAACACACATCATCAGTAGGGTAAAACTAACCTGTCTCACGACGGTCTAAACCCAGCTCACGTTCCCTATTAGTGGGTGAACAATCCAACGCTTGGTCCAAATGGACACCTGGACCTGTTCCTGCGCTTCCTCCTGGGACTGTCTCTGCCGACCAATCAGAGGCTGCTGCAGGGTCTGCTGACTCACACAGGAAGTGAACAGACCAATCAAAAGACAGTAAAGTTCATCAAACAGAAGTTGAATGAAAAGGGTCTGTCTGTAGAGAGAAGTCTGAACCTGCTACACTGTCTGAACGAACTGAATGACCACAGTCTGGCTGATAAGATACAGGAGTACATGCAAGACAAAGTGCTCTCCTGGTTAAGTTCTCCTGCTGAGTGGTCGGCTCTGTCCTTCCTCTTACTGTCCTCAGACTCAGACCTGGAGGAGTTTGATCTGAGGAAATACCAGGCCTCAGAGACAGCTCTCCTGAATCTGCTGCCGGTGGTCAGAGCCTCCACCAAAGCCCTGTGAGTCCAGACTGTATTTAAACTCTTGTGTGGAGGTTCTAGTCTCTAATGTCCCTCTCTGTCCTCAGTCTTTGTGGCTGTGGTCTGTCTCCTCACAGCTGTGCTCCTCTGGCCTCAGTCCTCAGCTCCTCCAGTCTCACACATCTGGATCTCACTAACAACGACCTCCAGGACTCAGGAGTGGAGCTGTTGTGTTCTGGACTGAAGAGCGCCCCCTGCAGACTGGAGACTCTCAGGTGAGACGCTCCCATGATGCACTCTGCCCCCTTGTGTCCACATGAGTGTAATTCTGTGTCTTTAGGCTGTCTGGGGCTGTGTCCCAATTCGAGGGCTGCAGCCTCCGAAGGCTGGTTTTAAGGCCGCATACGTCACTTCCGGTGAAAGAAGGCCTGTCCCATTTCATTTTTATGTCATGCAGCCTTCAAATGCAGCCCTAAAACCGGCCTCGTTTCCATGGAAATGGGGCCGCGAACGGAGGACACATCCGAGTATCCTTCGCAGCCTTCAGTATCCCAGCATGCACCGCGCGGCGGCAGTCAGATGTTCGAAAACACGGAGCAAAAAGCCGGTCCCGAGAGCGGAGAAAAACATGTGAGTAACACTTTTAACTTTAGGAAATCATTACTAACACAACTGTAAACGTAAAATACGACCATAAGTCCCACAAAACTGTCAAATAAGTTTGTTTTTAACTGCGTGAACCGCGGAGTTTTGAGCTAAAGTTTGCCTAGTAATGTGCAGCTAATGCGATGAAAAGTCCGCTCAAACTTTCATATTTGGACACATTTCCATCAAACACTCATCATGTTTTTACTGTTAGGGGAAAAGAAGCTCACAGAGTGATTTAAAGAAGCTACGAGGAGAAAACTCCACGTTTTCACGGACAGTGTAAACATGTAAACAGTTGGTCAGTTGTAGCTCGGAGTTAAGATGAAAACACACATTATTTCATACATTCAACTGAAAAAAGACTCAGTCTGACTCTATCAAAGCTCATATTTACTTGTAAATCACATAATATATGCCTCCAACGTGTGCATTTCATTCAGGGAATACATTATCTGCTTTTAACAATCCGTGCATGTTTGTAAAGTGAAGAGTATATAATATCCTGCCTGGACAGGTCAGATTTATGATTGACATGAGGCTCCTTTAACAGATTTGTGCAGACACTGGTGTAGATACGACCTGGTGTAGATACGACCTGACTGTGTCTGTTAGGTCTGTCACATCTAATGTTATAACAATGAGAAATCTGTTTTACATGAATTTTCTTTTCTCATCTGCAGCCTCCTGTATGAGGACACGGCACACTGCAGGGGCCACAGAACTGTTGGCTGACAAGATGCTTGTGATTCATAAAATGGGTCAAATGCAGATGACAAAGTAAAGCCAACACTGAGCTGGAGGTGCTGACCCAGACTCCTGCCAAACGATTAGGTATGGGGCATGTTACATTGAAAATTGTACTAATAAGAGCTGCAAATGAATCATGCTCATGTTGAAATTATTATTTAAATTGTGAAAATATGCATTTCTCAAATGTGTGGGATTCCTCTATTAATTTAGCTGTTTCAGATATAAACTGCCTTTGAATCTGAATGTACATCAAAGTTTAAGTTCAACGTTAAAATAGTTTATTGTCAATTCTTCATACGAAAAAACAAAAAACATATAAAGAATCGAAATAGTTTTTCTCACTCCCTTGCGTATATAAATAAATAATAATAAATGTAAATAGTGCGGAGGGAGTCCAGGTGTTTCTTTGGGGCTGCATGCTCTTTGAAACTTATTTTCCTCTAATAGTTTTGTGTTCTTAATGTGTGTGTCATTACAGGTTTTCACTCTACAGGACAGAACTTTGAATCAATCAGACGCAACAACCATTCTGCTCTTCCTCCTCCAGAAGACGAGAGACACATCACACTGAGTGGTCCAAGTCCACTGTCCATGTCTCCACTGTCCATGTCTCCACTGTCCATGTCTCCACTGTCCATGTCTCCACTGTCCATGTCCAGAGTCTCTGAGGAGCAGGTCCAGAGTCTCATATGATCTGAACAAGTGTGTGAGACAGAAATGAAAACATCTGCTCATAAGTGTTTCTGAATGTTTTTCAGCCTGTACTGACATTTGATTTATGGCGAAATGTGCCATTTATTTGGTGTCTCTTTTGATAGTAACTAATTACATGTACTATAAGAATGTACTATTGTACTGCAGATAAGCTGTGGTGTTCCACATGACCATATCTGGCAAAGATAATTTGTTCATTTTTGATTGTCACTTGCTTCAGCAAAAAGGGAACACAATGAGATTTACTGACATACAGCTGTTTGTACTAACTTGTTAATGCAGAGTGTGTGTGTGTGTGTGTGTGTGTGTGTGTGTGTGTGTGTGTGTAATCGGTTTAATATTTGACTTCATATTATGATAAAGTATTTCCAGAAGTTCCTTGGATTGTTTAATAAATCATCTTTTCTCAGGAGAGATGTCTTTCTTTCTTTACAAACTGACTGTATAAATGTAATCCCTGGTCAATATAAAAATCCTTAATAATGTTTAGTAATGCATATCTCATCACAGTTTTTTTTTTTATTTTAAGATAATTTAGTCTATTTAAAATGTGTCCCTTAAATATAGCCGTTTTGTTTTGCAAAAGTTAAACATACATTTTCGGTTTTGGCCATAATATTTGGATGCGAATTATTAAAATAATTTGGTCACAAAATCCGACAGTTTGATGACCTGTGCGTCTTTTTACTGATCCGTGTGTGGAATCTGCGCGCAGCGTGTTAGCATTAGCATTAGCGCTAGCAGCGTCCCTCGGTTGCTAGGCGACAGGGGAGCGGCTCCGAGGTCTAGGCCTGTCCCATTTCCGCAACGGCCTGGCGGTCCGCGGAGGCCAGTTCAAGGGCTGCAGCCTTCGCGGCCGACGAAGGACCCAGCCTTCACAGCCTTCGGAGGCTGCAGCCCTCGAATTGGGACACAGCCTGGATGTCTGGTCTCAGAGAGGGGCGGGGCTGCTCTGGCCTCAGCTCTGAGCTCCGCCTCCTCCCACCTGAGAGAGTTAGACCTCAGCTACAACCATCCAGGACCCTCAGCAGAGCTCCTGACCGCTCTACGGGACGACCCCACTGCCCCCTGCAGTCTCTCAGNATTATTTTTTGGAAAAACAACTTGATATTCTTTTTCTGTGGATTATTACGGATTTATTGAGTACAACTTTTCATGGATTGAACGCGTTTTGGACCAACAGAACCGGCTCAAAGGTAAGAAACGCATATCTTATTCTTTGTTTATGATGTGAATTTTTAAATTCACATAAATTCGGGCTCGTTGTACGGCATAAAATGAATGATATGGTTGTTTTATTGATAAATTAAGCTTTCAAACGATGTATGGCATGCCAGTAGTGAAAACAATAATGAAGGTGAATATACAGAGTGAACATTTTTTTATTGGAAAATCGCCCGCCGGCGGGCGGGTGGATGGTAAGTGGTTTTAATTAATGAAGAATCTGCACAGTGGATTGTGGGAGATCTCGTAGCTCTTTAGCTTCTTATGCTAAAGGAGCTCACGGTTTGTATTTTTCCTGGTTTATGAAATTGATTTAAGTTAATTTTTGCGCCTGCGCATTTGTAAGATTATGTCAAGAAACCGGGATACTCCATTTGATCATGTACACGCGGATATGAGTGTCCCGGTTTCTCAGTGCGCATGTAAACGCAGTAACCCGAATACTGACAGAACCGGGATATGGCTAATAACCGGGTTACTGATGTGCATGTATACGCACTCAAATAGTTTTGGAGCCTGAGAAGCTGTCGCCGTAGCAACGTGATGTTCTAATGCCGCCCTGGATCTCCATGGTGATAGAACTCAGCTTGATGACATCATCAGAGAAGCACGACGCTGCTTTAAAGTAAACTTTGAGTGACACAGTGAAATAAACAAAGTGAAAGTGACAGAATACTTTTACTAATACTTTAACTACTGCTACTTCAAAGCAGCGCTCTGCTTTATGACATCATCAGTAAAGGACAAGCACAAAGCACAAAGCAACTTACTGTTTTGAAGAAGATTATAAGTGTAACACGAAACAAACACTACAGACACAGAATACTGCCACTTCTACTGCGTGTACTACGACTACTGCGTGTACTACGACTACTGCGTGTACTACGACTACTGCGTGTACTGATGAGAGAGGGGGAGGGAGAGAAATGTGTAAAAAGTGTGAGAGAGAGTAATACTTAAAGAGAAAGAGACAAAGGGAGAAAGAGGAGTAAAGAGGAACGGGGGAGTGAGAGAGAGAGAGAGACAGACAGAAGTGTAAAGAGAGGAAAATGAGAGAGAAAGAAAGAGAAAGAGACAGGCCAGAGAGAGGGAGAAGTCAGTGAGAAAGCGTAAGACAAAAAGAGAGGAGGGAGAGAGGTGTAAAGAGAGAGATCAAGGGGAGTGAGAGAGAAATCAGAGGTGTAAAGAGAGACAAAGAGAGAGAGAGAAAGAGAAAGAAAGAGAGAGACAAAGAGAGAGAGAAAGAGAGAGAGAAAGAGAGAGTCAAAGAGAGAGAGAAAGAGAGGAAGAAGGCAGTGAGAGTGAGTGAGTGTAAGATAGAAAGAGAGAGACAGAGAAAAAGGCGAGAAATGGAGAAGGGAGAGAGGTGTAAAGAGAGAGATCAAGGAGAATGCACGAGAAATCAGAGGTGTAAGGAGAGACCGAGAGGGGGAGAGAGAGAGAGACAAAGAGAGAAAGAAAGAGAGAGACAAAGAGACAGACAAAGAGAGAAAGAAAGAGAGAAAGAAAGGGAGACCGAAATAAGGAGAAACATAGAGAGAGAAAGACAAAGACAGAGACAAATAGAGAGACAAATCGAGGAAGAAAGAGAGAGACAAAGAGAGAGACAAGGAGAGAGACAAAGAGAGAAAGGAAGAGAGAGACAAAGAGATAAAGAAAGAGAGAAAGAAAGGGAGACCGCAAGAATGAGAGACATAGAGAGAGAAAGACAAAGACAGAGACAAATAGAGAGACAAATCGAGGAAGAAAGAGAGAGACAAAGAGAGAGACAAGGAGAGAGACAAAGAGAGAAAGGAAGAGAGAGACAAAGAGATAAAGAAAGAGAGAAAGAAAGGGAGACCGAAAGAAGGAGAGACATAGAGAGAGAAAGACAAAAACAGAGACAAATAGAGAGACAAATCGAGGAAGAAAGAGAGAGACAAAGAGAGAGACAAAGAGAGAGACAAAGAGAGAAAGAAAGAGAGAGACAAAGAGATAAAGAAAGAGAGAGAGAGAAACAAAGAGA